AGCTTACCTCAGACACGACTAACTGATAATCCGACATCGTACCAGCACCCCAAGATAGGATAAACAAACGGAAATATGCTTACAGGACTGCTTCTTAAAATATATGGCAATGACATCCCAACACAAGCGACTAAAAAGTGGACTAATTATTGCACATATAAATATAAACAGTCTAAGGAACAAAACAAATGATATAGCTGAATTGTTAGAAGAACATAAGCTGAATATACTTGCTATTTCTGAGACTCATTTAGACTCCTCCTTTGAAGATAGTGAATTACATATAAAGGGTAGAGGGTCCTAGAAATGAAAACCAAACAAAGCAATTATTATTTTCTTTCTGCAGAAAAGAGAGAGAGGGGACAGACCAAGGGTGAGACCCCTTGAAAAGTCTGTACTCAACTCTGCCCAAACCTCTCTTTTCTGCTGCTTTTATTATTGGACTTCAAAGGAATTACAGGAGTGGTCAAAAGTTACCACGAGGGGTCAGAAGTTATCAGTCACCTACAGCTGCATAGCTGAATAATACCAGCCTTTGAGAGAAATACTTGCTGTCCTCATTTAGAACAATACTTTACATTCCTTGGCCAAGTGCCTGTAACTTGAAATAAAATGATAAGATATACATTTTTCCAACAGTAACAATGTTAAAGAGCACAACTCACAACATTTCATGTCCATGTCTCTCTCTCCACCCATTTCCTGCCAGCTGACTTTCACAAAGGCTACCAGTGTTAAAACAATGCTGTTCCACAAGTGCTCCAAATAGACTCAAATTTATTCCCTTCATTAGCTGTGCGTTGCACGATTTCAAAATCCTAAATAATTACTTTATAAAATGCCTACCGTAAATGCCAATAATCCCCATGTACCTTTCCGATTTACTCCACTCTTATCCTCTGGGAGTCTTGTGAACTTAGTTGTAAGCATTTCTTGCAAGACATAATATTCAATTTTATCTATTGCCTTTGGACGGAAAGGGAGATAGAGAACACTTAGGCATTTCAGTACTGTCAGGGTTTGTTACTGGATTGTGGACCCAGAGGCAGAGGCAGGCAGGCAGAGGTGAACTTTTTAGTTGATTTAATGAATAAAAACTTTTCTTCCTTGCATATCAACTCTCAGCGCTCATTTTTACTCCACAGAGGTTAGACTAGGACCCAGCAAAGAGGAGGTAAACAGCAAGAGTATTTGTAGGAGACTGAAACAAGTGCTCTGTTCGAAAACCTAGGACGCATCCTTAGAAGACCGGATTCGAAGGCCGATTACGTCATTGCGCGGCGCCGAGGTCTGGTCGGATTCCAAGAGTCCTCGTTATGCGGCCTTAAAATGCGTCCTTCTTTTTGCCCAATTTGAAGGACGGGTCCGATGTATCCTCGGTATTCTTGGATATCCCAGGATTCATTGCGAGACCAAGCAAGCCGTGATCAGAGGAAAGGTTACTTGGCGCCGAACAGTGGTGAAAATTGGAAGTTCAGTTTAATATAATACAACTCTGTGAATAGTTCCGTCTGAAATGAATGAAAATAGTTGTTTTAATGGTTATTGAGTCAGATATGTGGCGGTAGTGTTTGATTTATCTAAAGGTTTTAATCTGTTACTGTGTAAATGGGTTTGGCTGGAATTTAAGGACAGATTCTAATATATTTGCAGGGTGGGGACTATAAATCTGATAGGATTTTTATCTTTTTATTGCTATTTTGCACAATATGCTTAACTTCCTATTTTTTGTTGTTGAATATTAGAGATTTTGCAGATATATTTTTTATACATATATTGTTTAGATTTACTTATATCTTTCTACCCCTTTTATAGAATAGAATAGAAAATCTCTTTATTTTCCCACAATGGGCAAATTTACAGCAGCAGAAAGATTATTGAAAATGGTCACACAAATGTGGACCTTAGAAAAATGTATAAGAATAACATAATAGGGAAGAGTTAAAATATAAACAATAAAATACTGTAAAGTGTTTTAACAATATAAAACTGGGGAATAAATAACCAATATGCAGCTATGGACATTTTTACAGTCATGGATATTTGAAAATAGCAGCAACATCAGAGATGTGCAGAATGACAGCAGCAGGTTATTTAACTGACTAAGGTTTCTATCTTTACATTTGATTTTATTTGTTCCTGCTCCAGGTGGTTGGAACCTTTATTCCACTCTGGATTCTTGTGAGTGTAGTCTTTGTTCACTTCACAATAAAAAAGAAATAAATAAACAGTTTTGAAAACTTCTGTATTCATTCTTTTCCTGCTTTGTGTGTCAACGTTCACGGTTGCTAAGCAACAGAGCATACGGCGGTAAAACCCGCCAAAGGGTAGACCTGGTCGAATTTACAGCCAAAACTCTTCCGGTCTCCTTATTTTAAAGGACTTCGAAGGATCCAGTCTAGGTAGACCGCGTCCTTGGAGGACCCGTCCTAGGTTTTCGAACAGAGCCAAGGAGAGGGTTAACGAACAGATTAGAAGCAGGTGTGAGCAGAGCAGAAACAAGAAAGGAGCAAGAGAAAAAAAGAGAACTCAATAGGGCAGCAGAGGGCAACAAATAAAAACCTGAGAACTGAAAATAACCAGAAAGAACAAAATAAGAATTAAACCACTAAGACTAGAAAACAAGGAGTAAAGCAAAACTGAACACTAAAAAGAAAATAGAACCAAGACTGAGACAGTAACTGAGAAAAACCCAAGGAACACAACAAAATAAGAATTAAACCATAAAAACCTATAAAACAAAGAGCAAAGCTAAACTGAATATCAAAAGAAAAACATAACAGAAACAGAAACCTAACAAGTACATACTTTTTATACCTTACGCAAACACATTCCCCCAGGGGAACAAACCCACCCCCTTATAACGATCTCTCTCACACTTGAACATTTGGTTATTCCCAAGAAAAACCCTTCAATTCATCAAGGACATAAATTTAGCCAGATAAACCTTTCAGACAACTTTTTTTCCGGTCACACCAGAAAAAAAGGATTTGAGAACCTTAAACATAGTAAGGACATGTTAATCTATATTTCCCCCCCTCTCTAAAATAGGGAGGAATCTGCTTCTTTTCACACCTGATTCAACTCCCTACATTTAAGTATAAAGAACGGAACAATGTTACTTTTATTTAGTTAAGAAAAAGCACAGTCTAATATCTAATTTCACAGACTTTAGATCAACTAACCATCAGGTTTTATTTGATTCAGAGCGTTTTCAAAAAACTTAGAGGAGACGTTTTATTTCTGTATTGGCTCCCAAACTATGGAACACATTTTTTTCGATTTTTAGAGTCCTCTTTGCATCTTCTACTGTAAGTATCTTAAACACAATTCCAGTATGAACCATTGTGAGTGAAAGGATGCAGTGATGAATATAGTTCTTCCAACATTCCGATGACATCTTTAGCACACTTAAAAGGTTATGATCTACCTCTGCAAATTTCATTAAGTTGTGCACTCACCAGTGGTGTAGCATCATAAGTCCCCATGGCATACGGTCTTTTTGTAGGAGCTTAAAACCCTACACCTGTCGAGCTGTAAAATTAGATGATGTTTTAGATAACACTAACAGCGGGGTAACTGTTTTTTTAAAATAAAGGTCTGGGTTATAAATTTTCAACTGTCTGTTTTAGAATGCGGGAAACGAGCAGGCATGTGATTTTACAATTTGCAAACTTTCTCTGAGTCAAGGGTGCTTTGTTAAAAGCTGTGAAAATAAACATTGTTTAGGAAGATGAAAGTTGCTTATCGAAAAAACAGGTATATAATTGTTTAAACACATTTTTAAACCCTCATTGCAAATCATTTGCTGTTTCACTCACATTCTGAAGGGGTGGGGTGATAATGTGGGTCTGCATGTATGTGTGTGTATGTAGGGGTGTGTGTGTGTGTATGTGGGGTGTGTGTGTGTGTGTGTGTGTGTGTGTGTGTGTGTGTGTGTGTGTGTGTGTGTGTGTGTGTGTGTGTGTGTGTGTGTGTGTGTGTGTGTCTGTGTCTGATGGGTTGGGTGTAGGAAAAAGGTGAAAAGTTTAAGGATGGGTGTCTGTTTTTTAAATTAAAGTTCTGGGGTGTGAGTTTTTAAACTGTGTCTTTTACAGCACAGGAAAGGACCCAACAAATGTTTTACAGCTTGGTTGATGGTAATGATTGGTCTTAACACAAAAGAGGGCAGTAGATTGGCTGATTTTCTGGAGGCTGTTCAAAGAATAATAGAAAAATACTTTTACAGCGCGAGAAAGGAGCAAAGGTTAAAGTTCTGGGGTTGTGAGTTTTTAAACTGTGTCTTTTACAGCACGAGAAAGGACCCAACAAAGGAAGAGGCAGTTTCTTTACACTCGGATAAAAAGTGTCTGTATAATGATTCTGATTTTTTATTATTTTTACAACATCTACTTATGACAAAACTCAGTGAAAGAAAGTGCTGCCACCTAAATGCTCCAGGGATGGTTATCACAGATCCTTCCCCCAAGCAGCTGAAAGACTCTATAACCACCACTGTTCCCAACAACCTCAATAAGTTGTTACATTCATGCTGATTTTGCACAGTTTCTACCTTAGCTCTGCTGTTGCTGCTATTCTAAAATATCCATTAGTGTAACAATGTCCATAGCTGTATATTGTTATTTATTCTCCAGGTGCACAGGTTTATATTGTTAAAACACTTTACAGTACTTGACAGTATTTTATTGTTTCTTTTAACTCTTCACTATTATTTTATTTTTATACATTTTCCATAGGTCCATAGTTGTGTGAGCATTTTTTTATGATTTTTTTGCTGTTGTAAACACTACATTTTCCCCATTGTGGGATAATAAATTTTCCAGGTAAACAAAGAATGGTTCCTTAACCCCTTGCTCAAACTTCTTCCTTTGCAAGAATACGGATGTCTTTGTCCTCAAACGAGTGTCCTGTTGCCTGAAGTCCACAGGCCACAGTAATGGGATTTTCATCTAAGTGCTGAGAAAATGCTCCTCCAAATTATTGTTTGTTTAATTTTTCAGGCAAAGGCACATTCTCCTGAGATCAACTTTTCACCATGGTTGTTCCAAATTCACCAACTAAGATGTCCCAAAGCAGAATTTTAAGAACACACGGCAGTCAGCAATATGGTTCAGTCCCAACCATCTCAGAGATCTCTGGAAGTCTAAGGAATTGGAGTTCCCATAGATGTTTATCTACAGACAGTAACAGTTTGGAGGGTGAGTCTCCAGAGTGCAATGAGTCCGACCCCTTGCTTTCCAATGAACTATGGAATGGGTCAAGGTTAAACAGATCCATGACTGCAAAGAGTGGAGAAGGTTCAAGTGGACCCACGGAATCAGTGTGTTCCATGGTGCTGCAGATTCTGGTACCGTTTGTACTGGCCGGTCTGGGGACGGTTTCTGTTGGGATGCTACTTGACTTTGTGCAGGTGAGTAAACAGATGCTAATGAATGAGCTAAGGCTATGTTGATGCTCACGCAAGCAGAATAAAATTAGATACATAAAAAGAAAATAGAACAAAAAATATATAAAAAAATAAAATTGAGGAAATGACACAACAGACAATTCTAGAAAAACAAAAATAAAAGTATTGAAATTACAAAAGTTTTAAGAAAGTTTTGTAGGCAAATGTTATGAGATTGATAAATTAAATCCCTGGTAGTTGTGAAAAACATAGCTAGAACTCATATCTAAAAGCTCATTGGCTCTGAGATTTACTGAAATAAGACTCATCCGATGATTGTTTCTCTCAGTGATTGCTGGAGTGTGTGGTCCAGTTATACTGTTTTCTCTTTTTGTCTGGCAGAGCTGGGATGTGTTCCAGGATATCACTGAGATTTTAATTCTGGTTCCAGCTGTTTTAGGCATGAAAGGAAACCTGGAAATGACGCTGGCATCAAGATTGTCCACTGTTGTGAGTCTTTCAGATGCTAATGTGTTTTCTGTTTATTATGTTTTATTTATGTCATTCTTTATTTCTAGGCAGTACTGTAGGATATTTTTTAGTCATGATTTTTGGTGCTATTAATGATTCTATTGCAGTTCTCTTTCTCCAGTGTTTCTAAATCTTTGAGACATCTTTGGGTTAATTTAAGAACCCCATAATTTATATGTTATAAGGCTCTTTGGTTATAGTTCTTAGAAATCCTACAACGGTGATGGCAGATTGATTTTATGCATTATTTATCATAGCTTATTGCAATAAACAACAGTAGTAGTGGCCTGTGCCCATGCTGTCAATGCAATTTGAAATATGAGAAACAGTCATATAACTCTCCTTTAGCAGGGCTGGTGGGGTTTGGCATGGAGCTTTTGATTAGTTTGATTTATTCCTGCATTGATGAAACTTCAGATTTTCCTGAGTTTTCCTATCATTTTCACTCCATATACATCTGGCATTGCTAGGTAAATACTGGGGAAATTGAATCTACCAGAGATATGTGGATGCTGATTGGTGGAAATCTTGCTCTAAAACAGGTTAACTGTTCATATCTCTACATGTGATTTAATAAAAGCAGGATTTATTCAATCAAAGTTTCTTACTCTTTACTTATATTTTTAATTTTTCAGCTTCAAGCCACAGTTCTGGGTCTGCTGGCCTTTCTTATAGTGACTATATTGACCTGGATAGCAGATGGAGAAATGCCTCTAAGCCACATAGTACTCCTTTGTTCAACCTCTTTGTCTACTGCCTTCGTGGCATCACTGCTACAAGGTATGTATTGTCCTGATGAACTCAGGACACAGTACACAGATGCAATACATTTGAAATAAGACATTACAACTTTCAGTCATAGCGTTTTGTTCACATTAAAACCTTCAGATTTCACACAATGAAATGTGTGCTGAAGCTTGTGATACAGTATAAATTCCTTTAACTCTTTGTCTTGCCCTGTTACTCTTTAACTGCACAGATTTTGTGTTTGTAGTGATATAATAGTTAAAGCATTTTATGATTAATATCCTTTTCACTTCTCCAAGTTGTCCCTTTATCCCACTTTAAGAGCTTTCTGGATGTCGTTTTGTTATGATTTATTAAATTAAATCTTCTTTCACAATCATCACTGGATGTTTGAAATGTAGCACAAATATCCACAAGCAGTAAGACCTCCTTTGGCTCCTCACATCTGAGTGCTGCAGCAAAAACTGTTTTCTCACCCCTCGTGGGGTGGTATGTGTCATCCTCAAGCTCGGGTCCTCTACCAGAGGCCTGGGAGTTTGAGGGTTCTGCGCAGTATCTTAGCTGTTCCTAGGACTGCGCTCTACTGGACAGAGACCTCTGATGTTTTACCTGGAATCTGCTGTAGCCACTCTCCCAGTTTGGGGGTCACAGCCCCCAGTGCTCCAATTACCACTGGCACCACTGCTGCTCTTAATTTCCACATCTTTTCTAGCTCCTCCTTCAGTCCTTGGTATTTCTCAAGCTTCCCGTGTTCTTTCTTCTGGATGTTGCTGTCGCTTGGGATTGCCACATCTATCACTACTGCCTTCTTCTGCTGTTTGTCGATCAACACGATGTCTGGTTGGTTAGCCATCACCAGACATCACTTCCAGCCCATACTCATGGCAGATGTTCCTGTACACTATGACAGCTACCTGGTTGTGGCGTTCCATGTATGCACTTCCTGCCTGCATTTTACACCCTGCTGTTATGTGCTGTATTGTTTCAGAGGCATCTTTGCACAGTCTGCATCGGGGGTCCTGCCTGGTGTGGTAGACCCTGGCCTCTATTGATCTTGTACTGAGTGCCTGTTCTTGTGCTGCCATGATTAGTGCCTATGTGCTGTCCTTCAGTCCAGCCTTTTCCAGCCACTGGTAGGATTTTTTGATATCAGCCACTTCTTCCATTTGTCTGTGGTATACGCCGTGCAGCGGCTTGTCCCTCCATGATGGTTCTCCTTCCTCTTTCTTGTCCTCACTTTCGGTTTTTTCCTGCCTGAGGTACTCACCAAGCCATTTGTCTTTGGGGGCCATCTTTCTGATGTACTCCTGGATCTTAGTTGTTTCATCCTGGACAGTGGTCTTGACACTCACTAGCCCTCGGCCTCCCTCGCTACGCTTGGTGTACAGTCTCAGAGTGCTGGATTTGGGGTGGAACCCTCCATGCATTGTGAGGAGCATTCTTGTCTTGATGTCAGTGGCCTCTATCTCCTCTTTTGGCCAGTTTATTATACCAGCGGGGTATCTGATGACTGGTAGGGCATATGTGTTGATGGCTTGGATCTTGTTTTTCCCATTCAGCTGACTTTTCAGGACCTGCCTTACTCTTTGTAGGTATTTAGCTGTGGCAGTCTTTCTTGCCATCCCCTCGTGGTTTCCGTTAGCCTGTGGCACCCCAAGGTATTTGTAGCTGTCCTGAACATCTGTAATGTGGCCTTCTGGTAGTTCATATATATATATATATATATATATATATATATATATATATATATATATATATATATATATATATATATATATATATATATATATACAGTTACAATCTCCTACTGCTTTCTGGAGCACCTCTGCTGTCTTCCTTGCTCTTTATTGGAAAAACGGAGTCCTTAGTTACAATAGATCATGATGTAACTAAGCAAGTTGCACATCTATTGACTTAAAATTGGGTTAGTGCTCAGGGTTAATGTTCAAGGGCTGGTTTGGGATTGGGCGATGGAGTGAATGAATGACTTAAAATGGCAGAAATAACAGAATATGGCAATAACTGTATATCATACTAATGAAGATGGGAAAGAACAACACATATGAACCATAACTTAACCCTAAGGATCATGACAGCTTTGCTTTTTGTCTTAAAATCAGATAAAGTTTGCCACATAGAATTACACCTGATGGGTTATCTCATGAGCTATTTCTTCTTGTTTTGAACCTTCTTTAGGGATCGTTGTGGTTGGGGTAATCATGGGCTCCAAGCGAATCGGTATCAATCCTGATAACGTGGCCACTCCCTTGGCAGGCAGTTTTGGCGATCTCATCACGCTTGCTCTGTTGGCATCCTTCAGTCAATGGTTCTACTCCATTATGGGTGAGGGGAAAGAGAAAACCTTGGTCTAAAGCAGGGGACTTTAATTCCAGTCCTTAAGGTCTGGTGTCCTGCACTTTTAAGATATGCCATACCCCACCTTACATCAAATCACAAAACCACGCCCAAATTCCAAAGTGACAGCTGAAAGTCCCGCCCAACTGATAAATATATTAATAAAAAAAATTATTTAAAAAATCAAAATTAATAATAATTAATAAAAAATTTATAAAAAATAATGAATTATTTTGATTTTAATAATAACATGTAGGATTATTAAATTATTATTTTAAATTATTTGTATTTATTTATTATATAAAAATTGTTAACACTCCATTTCAACCTCTGCCTGGAGCAGCTCTCTCAAATAATTTAATAATTATAACCATTATTATTCAAATAACATTAATATTATTAATTATTATTAAAAAAATTATCAATTTTTTTATTAATGTTTTGATACATTCTTTATTAAAAGGGGCGGGACATCCGGCTTTCACTTTTGTGATTTGATGTAAGCTGGGGTATAATTTTTTTTACAGGATACAGTCATATTCTCTGGAATACTCCTAAGGACTGCATAATTTGAATGAAGCAGAAACACATCTAAAAGGTGTAGGACATCAGAAGTCAAGGACTTGAAATGAAGAACCCTTATCTAAATGTTTAAACTGTACAAGCAAAAGTAGAGGATTATACACATATACACACAAAAATAAGTTTTTGGCAGATTATGGTAACTTTCAACCCTTTTAACATAATCTAAGCACTGAAAGAACAATGGAAATGGTAATGATGATAATGGTAATTTTTTTGGCAGATTTTTATCCCCATGTGTTATACCTGATGGATCTTCTGTATATGAGTCTGATACCTGTTTGGATGATGATCTCTTCAAAACACCCTGCCAGTCAGATCTTGCTTCGTACAGGCTGGGAACCACTCATTACAGCAATGGTTATCAGCAGGTACTCATTTCTACCGTTTACGCGGTTCATAATTTAGAAATCTTTATTTTTTGCTTGTATGTTTGGGGACTTTGCAACATTAAAATGCAATTTTTTTCAAAAATGTTATCTCTAATTGTAAAGATGGATGGATTAAGATTAGGAATGTATTCCACCTTTCTCTGTTTCTCAAAAGTGTTCTAAGATCTGTATTTGTGTTACAAAATCCACTAACACATTACATGCCCTCTAGTGCTGGAGGGCTAATTCTGGACAAGGCTGTGTCAGATCCAATCTTGATTGGGATTGTAATTTATGCACCTGTCATAAATGGTAAGTTCCTTACATGTTGTTTACAAGACCTCTTTAGTGTCTACATTTAGCAGTCTTCTTTATGCCCTTTATTTCAATTGATGGGCACCACTAATTGGCAGAGACACTTACTCTTATTCTGATTTGTCTATAGGGAGCTAATTTTAATTCTAAGATGGAGAGGCTAAAAAAAACAAAACACTTCCCATTAATATGTGTAACTTCCAAGGTCAGTAAAAAAAAAAAAAAGACTCATCAAATTAACATATTTATTGATTAAGGGGCAGATACAAAATTAATCGATTAAACTTTTGCTAAGAACCCAGGAATCATCTTGCTGCTGGTTCTTTGTAGACACATCCATACACATTTAGAGACCAAGCCCGTTATAAGTTCATGTTAACCACTATAAAGAAATAAGAATGATCTATATTCAAATGTCAAAAAAGCCTGGGTATACACTTGTTAGGATTATTCTCTTTGGGTTATGTGTGAGTTTGTGAAACATTAATTATCTCTTCCTATTGCATGTCAGAACTAATGTTTCTAATTGGGATGATTCCTCTATCACGATAAAAGGTCAACTTCATTCTGCATGTGGCAAAGATTTGGGAATGGAGTGAGAGCGGTGTCCTTGATCTAAAAACAAAGTGTAATTTTTGATAAGGCTGGAGTCATGGATGTCTCCTCATCTGCAAACTTGTATGATATAATGATGTGATGATGTGGCATAGTGGAGTTGTTTAAAACTGTTTCTTTAACTGTAAATCTTGGCCACTTTTTGAGATATGAGCCCAGTTGATAAGCGCTGCCTTCTGCAACGCAAAGCAACTTCCTTGTTCCGAGTTGGATTACAATTTATGTCAAAATCTGCTGTCATGTCTAATGGTTATTAAATACATACATCATGAAGTTTATCCCGAGTGATCTCTTTTCAGGAAAAAGAACTGGAGAGAGAAAGCTTCATGGTGTAGACACAGCTTTTCTTAACACAATGCAATCCAGAGAGGGATAGAAATTTGGGTTGGCGATGGTAGAGACCTGTTGCCAATCCTGCCTTGAACATTTAACCTTTACTTGGAACAATGTTCCTTTTTTTGTGGTTCCTGCTACTGTCCTGATTCATTTACCTTACACCTATGAGTAGTGGTATGCCTTCCCTCTGCATTACCCCCATGACTACAACTCACTCTGGCCCTCTCAGCTACAACAACAACAATACTGTTATAAACCACATAGTAGAACAAGGTGAGGGTCTGAAGGGGCCGAGAGACCAGAAGCACAGAGGATCTCTGGAGCAGGAGCTGCTGCCACTGTTGACATCTGATGGCAAGGAGCTTGTGGCAGCAGAGCAGGCTCAGTCACCGTCAGGGTACTATTGGACCTTGGCAGCGATGAGAAGTAGGATGAGGATGCATCAGTGCAGAGCTTGGTTGGCCCTTGCAGAGGAGAAACAGGCCATGTGAGAGTATACCTGGAGGTGTGCATGCAGAGGATGGAGACTTGAGCATCTTTTTGTTTAAAGGTTAGGTGGCAGATAATTGGACCATAGCTTTATATCCACAGTTGTTCAGTTATCATTAAAATCCTGAGGCTATTAGGCTTGTGTTTATAAGGATCAGTCTTTAAAGAATAATGTATTATTTTCTGAAAATAGAGGCATTTTTACTCTGTGGTGTCTATGCTCATCACTATGAACCAGTGGTCCAGTCTGCTTGACAAGCATTTAAATAAACACTTTAACAGTAGATCAACAATACACCTTATGTCAAAAATGATTAATGATGATGGATGATGACCTTTGACCTCATGTCAAAAATGATGGATGATGATCTATGACCTATGACCTTATGTCAAAAAATGATGGATGGGTTATGTAAATGACATGACCTTATGACATATGAATTATGAACTCTATGTCCCACACCTGATCAAAAGAATTTCTTATAACCCGCAAACTTATGCGCAGTCTGGCATCAATCAATTTCATGAATATAAACATTGTTTTCTTCCCAATCAAAGACAGTCCCCACACATGGACTTTCCCTCCTACCAACCTTCCATCAGACACCCCCATACGCACATACACAAGAACTATGAACTCTATGTCCCACACCTGAACAAAGGATTTTCTTATGACCCACAAACTTATGCGCAGTCTGGCATCAATCAATTTCATGAATATTTCTTCCCAATCAAAGACAGTCCCCACACATGGACTTTCCCTCCTACCAACATTCCATCAGACACCCCCATACGCACATACGCAAGAACTATGAACTCTATGTCCCACACCTGAACAAAGGATTTTCTTATGACCCACAAACTTATGCGCAGTCTGGCATCAATCAATTTCATGAATATTTCTTCCCAATCAAAGACAGTCCCCACACATGGACTTTCCCTCCTACCAACATTCCATCAGACACCCCCATACGCACATACACAAGAACTATGAACTCTATGTCCCACACCTGAACAAAGGATTTTCTTATGACCCACAAACTTAGGCATCTTCACATTTTTGCTCATAAGACATCAACTACACATTTTCCTAAAATTATGCTTAAAAAAAAAAATGTGTTTAAACTATTCCATTTCCTCTATCAAATCTTATTTTATTTTAAATACAGATGTCCTTTCAGCAAGCCTCTGTTTTACTTTCCTAAACGGAATTACTCTCACAGATCAAGCTTTCTTTTGTGTAAAGACCAATGTTTAATTCAGCATTAAAGTATGCGTTACTCACAAATTCACAATCACAATCGGAATTGTTAGTAGGTTTCCTTTTTAAAATTCAATCCAACTAACTTTTCTATCCACACAAAAACCTGCTTTCATGAAGCAACTTTTCATCTTCTCCCTACAGCCATCCCAGCAGACACACACACACACACACACACACACACACACACACACACACACACACACACACACACACACACACACACACACACACACACACACACACACACACACACACACACACACACACACACACACACACACACACACACAGACCCCCCTTCAGAATGAGTGTGAAACAGCAAATTGGTTTACAATGAGGGCTGTAATCAATTATCCGTTTCCTGCATTCTAAAACAGTTACCCCTGTGTTTTTAGGGGATCTAAAACATCATATAATATACAGCTCATCAGATCTAAGGATTTAAGCTTCTACAAAAAGCCCGTATGCATCACCATTCCCATTTTTTAAAAGAGTGTCGGGCAGTCGTCTTCATCATGAAACACAGTAAGTATTTTTTTTTCTACGATATTAGAAAATAAATACATTCTCTTTTTCATTTATTTAATTTCTTGTTTAAGGGCAGATCGTAGTGGCGGAAGTTAATCCTTTAATTCCTTCCATTGTAATAGGTATATATTTTTTCTTTTTAACAAGATCCACTGTTTCTCACATTTTAAAAGCTCTAATTTTTTTTTTCATCTATTTCAAGATTCCGATATCGAGGATTTTCTTATGTCAGACCTCGATTTGGGTAAGACTTTTAATTATAAAGAATATTAAAAACGGGATGGAAAAATAACAATTATTTTACTAAACTTTTTTTTTATCCAGAAACCATCACAGCGACCGAACAACGCTCAAATATTCGGACAGAGAGAGAATTTCTTCCGCAACCAAACAGTTTGCCCCAAAATAATAACAATTCGGCGGCCTACCAAAACGTGCGCCTTCCTCCTTATGTTCCTCGGACCTTCCATCCGCAGACTGTACAGGGGACGCTGCAGCCCGGGTCACTTCAATCATCTCCTCTACACACCCCCAGCTCCGTCTGGCCGGTTCATCAAACGCTTCGGACCGACAGCCAGCCTGCTATTGCGTCCCACGCCGCAGCGCATCCCCCAGGGTTTCGACCCGTCAGCCAGCCGGGTGCTCTGTCTCCTCAGCTCCCAGGCTCTCGCTCGACCAGCCACCAAAGTTCCGAGCACATCGCGGAAGCTGGGACGGAGGGGAGTGCAGCCCAGGAGGGGAGCGCTCCACAGCCGCCTTGGTCTATCAGCCAGCCGGTGCTCTCACCTCAAGCCGGGCGGGTCGAACAAATCGCAGAACCAGGGTCGGAGGGAGCTGCGGTCCAGACGGGGAGTGATTTACACGCGAATGGAGAAAGAGACAGTTGGGGTAAGCTTAAAAAATAAATAAATAAATAAATATATTTTATCTTAGTCCCGTGTGATGAATATACGCCGGTCATATATAAAAAAGTAAATAAATTATTAACTTTTTTCTCGCAGACACAGCCATTCTGAATGAAAGATCTGATCAGCCAGCTTGTAGTTCAACACCAACAGAAGCCGATGGTAAGAAAAATTAAAATAAATTAATTCTTAGTTTTATTATCATATAACCATATATATTTTTCTTTGTTTTTTCTGTTAGACTCTCAGCCTCTCGCTAAAAAGAAGGTATTGAAAGTCCGGCGTTCTAACAAACGGAGAAAAGAAAGTAATGAAAGATCTGATCGGCCAGCCGAAGCCGGTGGTAAGAAAAATTAAAATAAAATAATTCTTAGTTTTATTATCATATAATCATATATATTTTTCTCTGTTAGACTCTAACCCTCTCGCTACAAGGAAGGCATTGAAATTCCGGCGTTCTTCAAATCAGAGAAAAGAAAGTAAATAGCCTTTTTATTTATTTAGTTATTTGTTAGGATTTTTATTTTTTAAGTACGTCTTACTAAAGTGCGTTATTTTTTTTTTTTTCCTCAGCAGGAAAACGAAGGAAGTGCTCCGCCATAAACATACAGTCAGCCGGTGTAGGTACCAGATTGACTCGGGCTGCCAGATTGACTCGGGGGCCTGCGCCTTTTGAGATGCGTCAGAGCGTCCGCCATCTTAAATGTGGCAAATCTGCAGTTTCTCAGTCACTTAAACAGTATCAGAGGGACTTTAATCTCTGAATATACTTTGTATTCGTAGTATTTTTGGTTTTGTAATATTACAAGTTTATTTTTTGTATCCCTTTAGCTTCATTCTCCTGAATTTATTCTCGTTACAAATGCAGACCGCGGGCTCAATGTAGTTTGTTTGAGTGGCATTGCCATAATGTCACGTCATCGGGAGGCGCAAGGCCCATGGCGAATTCGGTGACGTCATCAGAAGGCGCAGGGACCATGGAGAATGTCTTCGTAAAATTGTCCGTTTACAAACAGCAATCCCGCTTTCGAATAAAACCTACACCCCGCTATAATTACTTTAGTAAGCTGTCCAGACCAATCAAAATGTTTTGCGCAATTGTGCAAACGTTAAAACAATTATGTATTGTGACGTCATCAAAAGGCGCAGGCCCCCGAGTCAATCTGGCAGCCCGAGTCAATCTGGGCGCTGTTGCCGCGCCGCTGATCCAACACACGGCGCAAGGGGAAGCCCCGGGAGTTGTAGTCCAGGATATAGCGGAAGCCGGAAGTGGCGGCGAGGTTGTAGTCCACGAAACCGGAAGCGGTGGAGAAGATCGGGAAACCGGAAGTGGCGGTGACGTTGTAGTCCAGGAACCCGATAATGGCGGAGAAAATGTAGTCCAGGATATACCGGAAGCAGGAAGTGGTGAAGAAGATCAAAAAATTGAAAATACGATTCAAGAAAGATCTGACCAGCCATCTTGTAGTTCAACACCCGAAACCAAAGGTAAGAAAATAAAATAATAATAATAATAATTGTGAGATTTAATATCATTTAAACGTATTTATATATTTTTCACTCTCTTAGACTCACCCCTTCTCGCTATATTGAGCAGACTGAGAAATGAAGGTAAATACTATTTATTTATTTATTAAGTTTTATTATAAGTCAATCTTAGTAATTCGTTTTATTTATTTTTTTCCTCAGTAAGAAATCGATTCGGCCAGTCCAGCATTCGCATCAGAGAAGAATCCAGACACCTGGCTTTTCACACATTGACGGCTGTGAGCGAGCTTCTTTCTGCAGCCGGCAACCGAGAACAAGTTCCCGAGCGCCTGGTTTTTCAGGCATTGGCAGCTGTCGGCGAACTTCTGACTGCACCAGGCAACCAAGAAGACCCCGGCTTCCGTTTGTCCATCTTGGTGAATATGTGCTATATAATGAGGAACATTCTTGGATGAAAAAAAAAAAGTCTAGTGAATAATCATGTCTGACCCGCATCTATCTCAGTCAAACACATCTCCGAATGTTTCTCCTTCTCAAAGTCAAAAGTCAAAGTCAAAAAGCCTTTATTGTCATTATATTCTGTGACAGATACAATGAGATTTGGGACTTCCATAACAGCTACCGTGAAATAAAAATAAAATAAAATATATAAAATATATAGATATATTAAAAGGAAAATGAAAAGGAAATGTAAACAGTTACAAAAAATATATATAAATATATTAAAGGAAATGTAAACAGTGAAAAGGAAATGTAAACAGTGAAAAGGAAATGTAAACAGTACTGGCACAGATTGTGGGGGGGGGGATAGTGCAAAACAGGTGTAAAGTGACCGACAGTGCAGGTCGGAGTTGAGGGGGGGCAATGGCTTGGGGAATAATGCAAACCAGGTGAAAAGTGTCCGTCAGTGCAGGTCGGAGTTGAGGGCGGCAATGGCTCGGGGGAAGAAACTGTTCTTGAGTCTGTTTGTCCTGATCCTCATTTGCCTGTAGCGCCTTCCAGAGGGCAACAGGTCAAACAGGGTGGAGCCAGGGTGGGAGCTGTCCTTGGAGATGGCCCTGGCTCTGCTGAGGCACCGGGTGGAGTAAATGTCTGCCAGGGAGGGGAGAGGGCGACCGATAATCCTCTGCGCCGCCTTTATCACCCTCTGCAGCCTCTCCCTGTCGGCAGCGGTGGAGCTGCCGAACCATACTATGATGCAGTAGGTCAGCAAGCTCTCGATGGAGGAGCGGTAGAAGGCCAGCAGCAGATCAGAGTTGAGGTTGTACCTTCTGAGGATTCTCAGGAAGTGTAACCTTTGCCGGGCCTTCTTGATGATGGTGGTGATGTTCTCTGACCAGGTGATGCGGTCAGAGATGTGGACGCCGAGGTATTTGACGCTGTGAACCCTCTCCACCTGCTCGCCGTTGATGAAGAGGGGAGCTGGCTCAGGGCTGTGCCTCCTGAAGTCTATGATGAGCTCGTTGGTTTTCTTGGTGTTCAGAGTCAGATTGTTCTCTGAGCACCAATCAGCCAGCTTCAGGACCTCCTCTCTGTAGGCGGCCTCGTCACCCCTGGAGATGAGACCGACCACAGCGGTATCGTCGGCGTACTTGATGATCCGGTTGTGGTTGTGGATCGGTCTGCAATCGTGGGTGTAGAGGCAGAAGAGGACGGGGCTCAGCACACAGCCCTGTGGGGAGCCGATGCTCAGCGTGCGGGTGGAGGAGAGGTGGGGCCAACTCTCACAGCCTGGGGTCGGTCGGTCAGGAAGTTGTTAATCCAGGCACATGTGAGAGGGGGGAGTCCAAGGGAGCCCAGTTTGATGATGAGTCTGTCCGGGAGGATGGTGTTAAAGGCCGAGCTGTAATCCACAAAGAGCATCCGGACGTAGCTCTGCTGCTGCTCCAGGTGGTTCACAGCAGAGTGGAGAGCCACGGCAACGGCGTCCTCTGTGGAACGGTTGGCCCGGTATGCAAACTGTTGGGGATCCAGGTGTGGGGGGAGACAAAATGCAGCACAACCAGATTCTTTAGATGAAGCGGTTTTACAGAATTTGCGAAATATTGCCGATGATATAAGCCCATTAAGTGATGCCGGTTCGCCTTTAATTCCGACCTCTCCCTTAGAAGATACATTTCTTTCTCACAGTCCGCCTCCGCAGCAAGAAAATCATCTAGAACGCTTAATTAGCTTGGAGCAAGCTCTGAGGGAATTATCCAGACATTCTCCTTCTAGTGAAAATCTTTTTCCGTTAAACCATCCCCTCCCTTCTCAAAATGTTATTCAATCCGGCGGTGGGGGAGGAGTACAAACCCTAAACAGAGGAAATTTTAACAATGTGGAAATTAGGGAACGGCTTTCACTAAATCAGAATGGTTCAGAGGGAGATTTAGCAGAAATATTCCTCAGCATGATGAATGTCTTATCCAATCTGGCTGAAAGAATAAGACCGCTCGCATCTAGAAATGATGTCATACAACTTGAACTAGTAACCGATGGTGGGTCTCATCACACAAACTTTATCGTAAATGATAATGGGGAAAATATCATGGAGGAACTTGAAAAATTTATGGATACTTTGGTACAATCTAATACCGCAATAACCGAAGAGGATAATGTGGAATTCATTCTCCAGCTGATTCGGAATCCTTACGGGGGTGGCAGACTAAAACTTGAAAAAATTGTAGACCGAGAATTAATAAAAAGAAAGAGAAGACATTTAATCGTGATTAATGATGACGGCGATCAACTTTGCTTTGCAAAAAATTTAGCCTGTTTAGCATATCCGAATCTCTCCCACATAGAGGTTTGTGTGCCATTTGAAATATCAATGCAACGTTCATAAGCTGTATGTAACGCAATTTCGTTCTGTATGCACCCTGTGCATACAAAATGACAAATAAAGAAGTCTCTAAGTCTAAGTCTCTCTAAGTCATCAGGCTAGAGCGTGGCAAAGGCAGGCGGGACTTTCTGATCAAACACCAGTTTCCTTTTCAGATGTCAAAACATTTGAAGAAATCTTAAACAGAAAGATTGTGATATATTATCGCTCAGTAAACGAAAGCCCTCTTTCTAAATTTGAGACAGATTTTTCAGACAGATCAAGACCCCTTTTCTTGTTTCTATTCAACCAACATTATTACGGAATCAAATCCTTAACAGGTTTTCTGGGTGCCCATTACGTATGCGATTATTGCTTTTCCCCTTTTGTAAATAAAGACAGACATTCCTGTCGGGGATATTGTCCCGTCTGCAACGATCCAAGCTGTACTCAGCATGAATCCTCACCAGTTTTATGCCCCGACTGCAATTTGACTTGTCGCAATCAGATCTGTTATGTGAAACATAAAATCAAAAAAGAAAGACCGATAGCAAAAACACAGGCCAGTAATTGTGAGATGCATAAATTATGTCTAAAGTGTGGAAGAAAATATTATATTCCCATCTCTACTACCGGCAAACCCCATGTATGTCTACCTCGAAAATGTCGCATATGCGGACAGAAACTATCTCCAGATTTGGGTGAGGGAGAGCACCAGTGTTTCATTCAACCCTGTCAGAAAGATGAAAAACTAGAGGAGAAATTAGTTTTTTTTGACATTGAGACCTTTGTTAACGAGGAAAGCAAACATGTTCCTTTCCTCGTCTGTGCAAAAGATTCAACGGGAAAAGAATGGTCCTCCTTTGGTCTGAAATGCGTTCAAGATTTTATTCTCCACTTTCGAAGACCAATGTTTTCCAAATTTGTCTTTTTGGCGCACAACGGTAGATCTTTTGACTATTATTTGGTTCTGAATGCCATGGTTCAGATGGGAATAAAACCTCGCATCATTATGCAAGGTTGTAAAATTCTCAGTTTTATCGACCCAGACTATGGTTTGAATTTTATAGATAGTCTTTCATTTCTACCTATGAAACTCAGTG